AGTAATTTTCAAATCCAGCAAATATTTTTATTTAAATAAGAAGTAACTCACATTTGTGTACAGCGTTTTTTCTCCTGCATGGGTAAACTGCACTCATGTGTTACTCTTGGAAAATGGCGTCCCGTACCGGAAGTGCGTCACTCTGGACTCCGGAAACTGCGTCTCTGCGTGCCTACGCGTTACGTCACGTACCCTCGTGACTTCATCGGGGTACGTGACTTATAGAGGTGAATTTTTCAAAAATTCGGTTCGGCTGATTCGCCGAATTCGCGGAATAAATTTGCTTCGAGCTGAATATATTCGCTGCGAATTTAACTTATAAAAAGTAGGCTTCAGACTGAATTTCGCTAATTTAACTTATAAAAAGGCTTCAGAGAGCCTTTATATTAGTGCAGAACACTGTACCTTTAGTTTAAATGCCCTTGGAGTCTGCTGGGGGAAAGAAAAATACTGTCAGTCAGTATGACATGCAGATGAGTGCCGTCGATCTTAGAATCACCGCACACTTCACTCATTTTGGGCAGTCACGGGGCCAAAACCCGAGTGTGGAGCCACAGTGTGGCGGTGGAGGCAGCAGCAATGGGAGGCCATACAGCACCCTATGACAAAATGAAACCCACCAGCAGTGTGAGGAGACCTGAAAGTGGCACATGGCAGAGTGTGGCGATGGAGACAGCAGCAATGGGAGGCCGTACAGGGACCCATGACACACTCTGGACCTGGCAGCAGCATGAGGATGCGGTACAGGGGCCCATGACAGATTACGGGCCTGGCAGCAGCATGAGGAGTCGGTACGGGGGCCCATGGCAGATTACGGGCCTGGCAGCAGCATGAGGAGGCGGTACAGGGGCCCATGGCAGAGTGGCGGAGCGTAAGCAGCTAAAATTGAAGGCCATACAGAGGCCTATGTTAAAAAAGTCCCCCCAGCAGCAGCGTGGGGAGACGACTATCAAGAGTCCAATGGCAGAGTGGCGGAGCAGAAACAGCTTCAATTGAAGGCCATACACAGGCCTAGGTTTAAAAGTCCCTCACAGTTAATTCCAATAACGAACTCTACTCCTCCGTGCAATCTACTTACGAGACCCTGGGCAGGTCTGGGTCCATATTTGGTATTTATAGACTGATTTGTTCAGCCATGCTTGATCGACAATAACAGTCTGTGCTGCCCTATTTGAAGACTGTCTGGCACTAATGCACAAAATATGAATGATCCCAGCTAGAGATGAGCGAATTATTCAAAAATTTGATTCGGCTGATTCGCCGAATTTGTGGAATAAATTCGATTCGATGCAAATTTATTCGCTGCGAATTTAACTTATAAAAAGGGTTTCTAGGCTTCAGAGAGCCTTTATATTAGTGCAGAACACTGTACCTTTAATTTAAATGCCCTTGGAGTCTGCTGGGGAAGAGAAATAATACTGTCAGTTAGTATGACATGCAGATGAGTGCCGTCAATCTTAGAATCACCGCACACTTCACTCATTTGGGCAGTCACGGGGCCAAAACCAGAGTGTGGAGCCACAGTGTGGCGGTGGAGGCAGCAGCAATGGGAGGCCATACAGCACCCTATGACAAAATGGAACCCACCAGCAGTGTGAGGAGACCTGAAAGTGGCACATGGCAGAGTGTGGCGATGGAGACAGCAGCAATGGGAGGCCGTACAGGGACCCATGACACACTCTGGACCTGGCAGCAGCATGAGGAGGTGGTACAGGGGCCCATGGCAAGAAGAAGCCTGGCAGAAGATGAGGATGAGGATGAAGATTATGAGGATGAAGATGAGGAGAAGGTAAGAAGAAGAAGAGAGTGGATGGAGCGAAGAAGAAGAAAAAGAAGAAGAAGAAGCCTATGAAAAAGACGAAGAAGAAGTAGGATGAGGATGAAGAAGAAGAAGAATGAAGAAGAAGTAGGATGAGGATGAAGAAGAAGTAGGAGAGGATCAATTGAAGAAGAAGCCAGAAGTAGGCCTAGGAGGTCCCTCAAGAAGAAGAAGAACTCTACTCCTCCGTGAATCTACTTACGAGAAGGGAGGTCTGGGTCCAATTTGTGGTAGAGACTGAAGAAAAAGAAGAAGCCATGAAGAGCGAGAGGAATAAGAAGGTCTGTGAGGATGCCCTTTGGTGTCTGGCTTAATGACAAGGATGAGGATGAAGAAGAAGAAGAAGCTATGATGAGATGAGCGAATTATTCAAAAATTCGATTCGGGATGATTCGCCGAAAGAGGATGAGGATGAATAAATTCGATTCGATGTAGGAAGGATTAGAAGAAGCTGCGAATTTAACTTATAGGATGAGGATGAAGAAGAAGAAGAAGAGAAGAGAAGTAGGATAGTGCAGAAGAAGAAGACCTTTAAGAAATGAGGAAGAAGAAGAAGAAGTAGCTGGGGAAGAAGAAGAAACTGTCAGTCAAGAATGACATGAGATGAGTGCCGTCGATCTGAAGAAGAACTTCAGAAGTAGGGCAGACGGGGCCAAAACCAGAGTGTGGAGCCACAGTGGATGGAGGAAGAAGAAGCAAGTGGATGAGGCCATACAGAACCCTATGACAAAATGGAACCCACCAGCAGTGTGAGGAGACCTGAAAGTGGCACATGGCAGAGTGAGGCGATGGAGAAGAGCAGCAATGGGAGGCCGTACAGGGACCCATGACAGAAGAAGAAGAAGCAGCATGAGGAGAGGAAGAACAGGGGAAGATGAAGAAGATGAAGAAGAAGAAGGAGAAGATGAGGATGAGATGAAGAAGAAGAAGAAGAAGAAGAGGATGAGGATGAAGAAGAAGAAGAAGAAGAAGAGAGAGAGTAGGATGAGGATGAAGAAGAAGAAGAAGAAGAAGAAGTAGGATGAGGATGAAGAAGAAGAAGAGATGAGATGATGAAGAAGAAGAAGAAGAGGATGAGAAGAAGAAGAAGAAGAAGAGGATGAGAAGAAGAAGAAGAAGAAGTAGGATGAGGATGAAGAAGAAGAAGGAGAGGATGAGGAAGAAGAAGAAGAAGAAGAAGAAGAAGGATGAGGATGAAGAAGAAGAAGAAGAGGAAGAGGATGAAGAAGAAGAAGAAGAGAGAGATGAAGAAGAAGAAGTAGGAAGTAGGATTGGATGAGATGAAGAAGAAGAAGAAGACGAAGAAGTAGGATGATGAGAAGAAGAAGAAGAAGAAGAAGAAGTAGGATGAGGATGAAGAAGAAAGTAGAAGAAGAAGAAGAAGAAGAAGAAGAAGTAGGATGAGGATGAAGAAGAAGAAGAAGAAAGAAAGAAGAAGAAGTAGGATGAGGATGAGGAGAAGAAGAAGAAGTAGGATGAGGATGAAGAAGAAGAAGAAGAAGTAGGATGAGGATGAAGAAGAAGAAGAAGTAGGATGAGGATGAAGAAGAAGAAGAAGAAGAAGAAGTAGGATGAGGATGAAGAAGAAGAAAGAAGAAGAAGTAGGATGAGGATGAAGAAGAAGAAGAAGAAGTAGGATGAGGATGAAGAAGAGAAGAAGAAGAGAAGTAGGATGAGGATGAAGAAGAAAAAGAAGAAGAAGAAGAAGAAGAAGTAGGATGAAGATGAGAAGAAGAAGAAGAAGAAGAAGTAGGATGAGGATGAAGAAGAAGAAGAAGAAGAAGTAGGATGAGGATGAAGAAGAAGAAGAAGTAGGATGAGGAAGAAGAAGAAGTTGTAGAAGAAGAAGAAGTAGGATGAGGATGAAGAAGAAGAAGAAAGAAGAAGTAGGATGAGGATGAAGAAGAAGAAGAAGAAAGTAAGTAGGATGAGGATGAAGAAGAAGAAGAAGAAGAAGTGGATGAGGATGAGGATGAAGAAGAAGAAGAAGAAGTAGGATGAGGATGAAGAAGAAGAAGAAAGGATGAGAGAAGAAGAAGTAGGATGAGGATGAAGAAGAAGAAAAAGAAGAAGAAGTAGGATGAGGATGAAGGATGAAGAAGAAGAAGAAGTAGGATGAGGATGAAGAAGAAGAAGAAGAAGAAGAAGAAGAAGATGAAGATGAGGATGAAGATGAAGAAAGAAGAAGAAGAAGAAGAGTAAGATGAGGATGAAGAAGAAGAAGAAGTAGGATGAGGATGAAGAAGAAGAAGAAGAAGAAGTAGGATGAGGATGAAGAAGAAGAAGAAGAAGTAGGATGAGGATGAAGAAGAAGAAGAAGAAGTAGGATGAGGAAGAAGAAGTAGGATGAGGATGAAGAAGAAGAAGAAGTAGGATAAGGATGAAGAAGAAGAAGAAGAAGAAGTAGTATGAGGATGAAGAAGAATTCCAGTGCAGCAAAAAGTGTATCTGCAGAGAGCTCCGCTATTTCTGACAGTTCTCTGACAGTTCCTTCACATTTACAGCGGTTGAAACATTGTATCTATTTGTTTCCGAATAAAAACATCTGTATCTTAAATGGAAACAAATAGATACAATGTTTCAACTGCTGTAAATGTGAAGGAACTGTCAGAGAACTGTCAGAAATAGCGGAGCTCTCTGCAGGGACACTTTTTGCCGGCTGTAGAAGGGATGAAAATCGGCCGATCGGGGAAAATTCGATTCGCGCATCCGAAGTTTGCTAATATTCGGATTCGACGCGAATCCAATTTTTCCTAAAATTCGAAACGAATTCCACTTCGCCAGGTTCGATTTGCTCATCTCTAGTCCCAGCGTTTGTCAACGATTTGCCGTTAAGTGATGCAAACCCGCTGAACCACGTTCATGAGGAGCCGGTACAGGGGGCCATGAATCAGTATGGACCTGGCAGCAGCGTGAGCAGACGACAGAGGCACATGGCGCAGGGTGGCGGTGTAGGCAGCATTATTCTGAAGCCATACACAGGACTAGGTTAAAAAGCGGAAGCCGTCAGCAGCGTGAGCAGACGACAGAGACACATGGCGCAGGGTGGCGGTGGAGGCAGCAGTATTCGGAAGCCAAACACAGGCCTCGGTTAAAAAGCGGAAGCCGTCAGCAGCGTGAGCAGACGACAGAGGCACATGGCGCAGGGTGGCGGTGGAGGCAGCAGCAATGGAAGGCCATACAGCACCCTATCACAAAATGGAACCCACCAACAGTGTAAGGAGACCTGAAAGTGGCACATGGCAGAGTCTGGCGATGAAGTCAGCAGCAATGGGAGGCCGTACAGGGACCCATGACACACTCTGGACCTGGCAGCAGCAAGAGGAGGCGGTACAGGGGCCCATGGCAGAGTGGCGAAGCGTAAGCAGCTTAAATTGAAGGCCATACAGAGGCCTATGTTAAAAAGTCCCCCCAGCAGCAGTGTGGGGAGACAACTATCAAGAGTCCAATGGCAGAGTGGCGGAGCAGAAGCAGCTTCAATTGAAGGCCATACACAGGCCTAGGTTAAAAAGTCCCCCCAGCAGCAGTGTGGGGAGACAACTATCAAGAGTCCAATGGCAGAGTGGCGGAGCGGAAGCAGCTTCAATTGAAGGCCATACACAGGCCTAGGTTAAAAAGTCCCCCCAGCAGCAGTGTGGGGAGACGACTATCAAGAGTCCAATGGCTGAGTGGCGATCCGGGAAGTCAGCGTTGTGATTGCAGATGCAATGCAGAGATTCTATGAGGTGATGCCGTGGGTGCGAAGAAGATCATATACCGTCGTACTTCCATCCATAAGACGGAACAACCTGCGAACCAGGAGCTTTATTGCCCTGACCCGCTGAGCAGCTTCTGGGATACCCAAGAGGCCCATGGCAGAGTGGCGGAGCGTAAGCAGCTTCAATTAAAGGCCATACAGAGGCCTATGTTAAAAAAGTCCCCCCAGCAGCAGCGTGGGGGAGACGACTATCAAGAGTCCAATGGCAGAGTGGCGGAGCGGAAGCAGCTTCAATTGAAGGCCATACACAGGCCTAGGTTAAAAAGTCCCCCCAGCAGCAGTGTGGGGAGACGACTATCAAGAGTCCAATGGCTGAGTGGCGATCCGGGAAGTCAGCGTTGTGATTGCAGATGCAATGCAGAAATTTTATGAGGTAATGCCATGGGTGTGAAGAAGATCATATACCGTCGTACTTCCATCCATAAGACGGAACAACCTGCGAACCGGGAGCTTTATTGCCCTGACCCGCTGAGCAGCTTCTGGGATACCCAAGAGTTTGGCTTCTGTGGGGAATATGGTTGAAAACTGAAACTTAAAGGCATGTTGACGGAAGGGCACCAGTGTCAGTGCTCCGGAGGGAATATAGCTTCAAAGCTGACACTTAAAGGTATATCGACGGTCAGAGACCACAGGAAGTGGAGCTTGCGTCTTAAATCGACTGAATGTGGCAGACGTGAAACGTCTACGGGCCGTATATGAAACGGGTTGTTCCTCTTTCTGGAATAAGTGTTGGAAATGGCCACTCTTTTTGGTGTGGCGTTTTGTCTATTTAATTCCGATAACGGACTCTACTCCTCCGTGCAATCTAGTTACGAGACCCTGGGCAGGTCTGGGTCCAATTTGTGGTAGAGACTGGTTTTGTTCAGCCATGCTTGAGCGAGTAATAACAGGTCTGTGCTGCCCTTTGGTGTCTGGCTTAATGCGCACAACACTGGACACTGTGTCCCTGAGTAACGATTCTGTGTCCCTGAGTAACGATTCTTTGTCCCTGAGTAACGATTCTGTGGCCCTAAAGTCTCTGTGGCCCTAACTCTGTCCCTTAATACACACAGGTCTGTCTCTCTTGAATGACCGGAGGCTAATGGAGAATTCTAAGATGGCCGCGATTTATAGCTCCACCATTACACAGTGCTGGCTGGCTGCTGATTGGCTAATGCGATCACATGTCATGAATGCATTATGGGTCAGCGAGCCTTGTCTGCGCGCCTTCCCAGAGATCCCCGCCCCATCTTCTCTGTCCATTTTCTCCGTCGCCACACATGTCGCCGCCATTTTTGGGAAAATTCGATTCGTGCATCCGAAGTTTGCTAATCTTCGGATTCGTCGCAAATAGAATTTTTCCAAATCTTCGGAACGAATTCCACTTCGTCATGTTCGATTCGCTCATCTCTAATTCTAAACATAGCACTATTATGATATATGTTGTTTAATATTTATGAGAAAAGTGACACTCGTGATGTGCACTTAGAGTATTTTAGGCACTGTGAGATTTCTCACAAGGTCAATACATTTAATTTATCACTTTTATACAGATTGTTTTGATTATGTTATTTAGCGCTATACTATTATAATATTTATTTGAGCACTGTTTTTGGTATCAGTAGGAGTGTAAGCAGCTGTTAACTAGGGAAAGGGAGGGTGGTCCATAGAAGCGCAGGAGGACTTACAATATATTCCTAAGAATTACAGGCTTACAATAAAAAAACAACATATTTCCATTGAAAACAATGTACCGCTTTGAGCACAGAAATACTGACATAATCAGACCGCTAGGGAGGTTAAAAGAAGTCACCTCCAAGTCGGATCCTCATCTATTTTGATGTGATTTGGATCCGACATTACAGGAAGATTACCCAGGCATTCCCTGAAAGATGCTTCAGAGTTGCTTCAAAGTAGTACTCAAATTGCCTGGCAAAGTCGCACTGCAAGTCACACAACTTTCAGGAAGCAATAGTGTGAGCCAAGACTTAATGGTCTGTCTCATCTCTGTAACTGCAAGAAAGCTTTTCTGTTGAAAAACAACAGACTTACTGGCTGGATCACCAGATGAAAATAGAAGAAAGAAAGCCTAAAAAAGAAAACTAATACAGCCATCACATTAAAGAAATGGTAAGCTGTAATATAATAAATATTTGCTTTTGGGTTTAATACTGCTTTAATTTAGCTTGGTCCATTCACTATACTAAGTGAACATTCTCTACTCCTTCAGAAATCCAAAGCTATTGTGTGTACTATGGTTCAAACTTGTATGGAAATACACTCCCCGGAGGAAACATTGCTTACGGCCTCTCTCCAATCTTCATGTTTTGATTGGGAAGTTTTATACTTCCTTAAAAGTCTAACAACTAACCAACAAGCATAATACTTCCTTATTAGGCCAATAATGTCGTGGGTGTAGGAATTCTCAACACAATTTCAGATCTCTTTAAGTGAAAGTGAACACAGGTTTGGTGACTTTTTTGCAAGGTTTACATGTTTAGTAAATCAAAGCCATTTGTATGGGAAGTCCTGCATTGTTTTGTGTGTATATTTCATATTTTTGTCAAAACTGTTTTAAATGATGTTCTCAATGATTATTTGTTACTTAATATTTAAAATTCTATGTCTCTTTTTCCCTGCTTCTAATTAAAAAAATAGTTATTCCAAAGCAACAATCCAAAGTCCAAATGTTAGCAATTCTGTACAGAAATTAGTCATCTATGAATATATTTTTTCATTCCAAACATGACTCAAAGCTCCTTAAATGTATAAAGCACATCAAATTAAAAAACAATGATGAACTGTTGAGACCATCATTCCATGATACCACAGACTACAATAAGACTTCCACATTCTCCATGGATAGGGGGCACATTCAATTTGCTGCACTTTTTCTGGCCTATTAGTTCTAAAACCAATGTTTTGGCCAAGCTCAGCAGTCTGTGGTTTTGGATGTTGGGAGCAATTCACATATGCTTTTAATTGATTATCTTTTAAACTGAACAGAGTGTTATGGAACATCTAACAACCCAATTTAATAAGCAGTGCCCTATTGCAGAGTTCTACAGAGTTTCGTAACAGTCATAGGAATGAAAGAAAAAAATACATCTAGAGCCAGCATAGTTTTCAGTTTACTTTTGATAGGCATAGCTGATTGTCTTTTTTCCTATTCCATGTTAATTCTTTGTGTACAGTGTTATTTATTGGGCCTTGATAAACTTCTTACACAATGCTTGCTTTTCATGCGCACTTAAATAATGGAGTTTTCAATGTTTTAAGTGTATAGCACATCAATAATAGCTTTCTCCTTTCTCTATCAATGACACTTTTATTTTAATCTAACAAAGTATATAGCTGTGAGGTTATTCGGTGTCACTGACATAGGATTGTTCTTGAAGGATAGTAAATATAACAAATGTGGCTGCAGAAATACACACAAATATCCATATCTAGCTCTATTTCAAAAGATAAGAATAACGGAGCTAAAATGTTAGGTTAAATGTACTATATAGTGTAAGTATGAATTACAGATTTTATATTTTGGATCGTAGTATCCCCCTAAATTTAGCATACTGTGTTAGATTGGGCAGCACAGTGGCTAAATAGTTAGCACTTCCACCTGGCAGTACTAGGGTCATTGGTTCAAATCCCAACCACGGCACCACCTGCCTGGAGTTTGCATGTTCTCCCTGTTCCTGCGTGGGTTTGCTCCTGTTTCCTCCCACACTCCAAAGACATGCTGTTAATTGTTAATGCATGTTAATTGGTTTCTGTCTGAAATGGCCCTAGTATGTGTATGTATGAATGTAAGTTAGGGACCTTAGATTGTACGCCCCTTGAGGGTTAGGGACTGATGTGAATGTACAATATATATATATTTTTATGTAAAGCACTGCGTAAATTGACAGCACTATATAAGTACCTGTAATAATAAATAAATAGATTGAGGTGAAACTTTACAGCAAATGCTGTGACGATCGTGGCATCAGACCCCAGCCCTTCTCACCAAACTTGTGACCAAAGGACTAGCCAATCTAAAACCGCGCTGTCACGTGTGTAACAATGCCATGCCCAGCTGCACTCTGCACAAAGATTTTCCAGCTTATGGACCACAATCTGTGTATCTGCAGCCTGGGAGTGATTGTTACTGGGTCAGGTTAATTATGCAATTAACCCTTCACACTGCTACCACCTCCTTTTTGTACAGAGAAAGAGGAAACTCGGCAATATCAGCAATAACACTATGATGTTTGCATAAGTGAAGTTTAAAACACACACACAGTAGCGCTCTTCAGAGGCAAGGGTTCTTAGTTTGCATTAAAGAGCTTTAGAAACAGTTCAACATTTTCAGAAAGTAAGATTTATTACTAAAAGGTCAAAAGGGTGAAATAAAAATATTTACAGAAAAAGATGTAGCCAATATATATATATATATATATATATATATATATATACAGAAAACAATACCACATTAAAGAGATCACAGAAAGAAGTTTAGAGGGATAAAGTACTTGCCGTCAGCCTTGGTTTAAGCAGATCAGGTTTCAGAGTCAAAAGGATGCCTTATCTCCCAAAGTTAGTTCCGATGTTAAAAGGGAGAATCTTCAACTTTTCTCAGCTCAGCTTTTTCTAGGAACTCAGCAGGGTGTCTCCTTAAAGCAGAGAACCAATCGCCTCATTTGGGGAGAGGTGTTGGGGCGGAGACCCAAGCTAGAACCAAACACTCTCCCAGTTGACGTCATGGTTCATAACCTATTCTCGGTGCATTTAGCAGCCTTACCACTAGTAGATTAATATGCAGACGCATCTGCTGAACGGTTAGATATGAAATATGACATACCTGCTGGATGGTTAAGGAGATATAATTTTCTGCTCTCCTGTATATGCCAGCTAGGGGATGTAATATATCAGGCGACTTGTCTTAAAGTGAGCCGTCCGAATATGTGCTCCATGTTTATGTAATTATGTCCTATTTGAAGATATAAAATTATATGGAAAAGGGAGTTTTTAAACGTAAGTCTGTTTTTATGACTACCTGGAATGTATTTGAAGCTCAGTGAGGGCTTGGTTTATGGTTTTACAATCCCTTCTCCAGCAAGAGTCTCACAGACATAGGGGCACCAGCTAGTGGGGTTTATAGCCATGACGCCCTCCCAATGAGTTTGCTGCTTGTGATCTTTGTCATCATCCAGACCACATGTCACTCAACAGAGAGGGAGGGGGGATATCGGAGGAATCTGATTTGGGAGAGAGAGATACAAGATGGAGGGGTTTGGAGCAAAATGGATGACCGCGTCCATCTCTGTGTGCATG